ATAGATATAATTTTAATAATTATACAATTAATTATAATTATAAAAATTTGATTGCATTAATTTTAACTATATTGATTTATTGTATATTACCGTTTTGTAGATATTTAATTAAATGATTATTTATAATAAATTTAATTCCTATATTAAATCAAGATATATATATATATACACCTTTTTTTATGATGGTTAGAAAGAGGAAAAATCGCTTCGCGACCGTAGACGAGGCCTTGGAGCCCACACCTCATGTCGGGAACATGGAGCACATGGTCCGTCCCTCGTCCGCGTGCTACCCAGTATGTCGATTTCGGTAGTATCATCGACGACCGGGCAGCTAAAACCCCCAACCCCTTGAACACAGACCTGTACCCAAGGAGCTGTAACCTCCACCTTCTTCACCGAGTCGGTGTCACGTAATCTTGTAGAGAATATATATATATATAAAAAAAATGTCGATCAGATTGGAGATCGGACTCTTTATTCCTTAAATGATTTACAATGTGATATATAATTATAGCGCGTTCAGGGTTGAATTAAGACTGTCTTCGGTGTGGCCTGGCGTTGCTTTTATAGGTGGTCGTTTTCTTTGTAGCTTATAGATCGGTGCCGTGTGCAGTGTGGGTCGGATATAATCAAAACTGTTTGGAGATAAGTGTCGTGTGCAATACTTCCCGGATATGATTAGGGTTTGTTTAATTTCAAGAGTTCGTCGAAATATGATATACAGCTTGGTGTGGCTTTCAAATATCACACCGACCCGGAACTGTTGTGCACATTACTTCGGGTCAGCAGGCGTGCCTATGCTTCACGGCAGTCGTGTTTGTCTTATCTGGTCTGTCGTTCGGTCCAGCTCGTCAGTCTTTCATGTGCCCGTCGGCTTTCTTGCCTTCGAGCACTTTTGTCACGTATCGTACGATGTCGTCCCACCTGTCCTCCCTTCTCAGCATCTCGGTCAGGACGTTGTCCGGTGTAATGACCCTAGTTCTTGTCTTAAGTCTCTGTCTCTCGACTGTCCGTCGGTGGCACACGAAAAACCTGTGCTCCGCTGCGTCCCTGCCATGTCCACAGTACCTACAAGACGGGGTCGTAACCTTTCCCATCTGGTACAGGTACTGCCGGAAGTATCCGTGTCCATAGAGGAACTGGGTGAGATGAAAATTTACATCCCCAACCCCCTTCACCGTCCAAGGTCGTACGTCCTTTATTAGGCGTCTCGTCCACTTGTCTCTGTCGTTGTCGGTCCAGCGGGATTGCCAGCGCGTCAACGTCTCTGTCCGTGCTTCTATGGCGGCCCTTGTCCTTCCCTTTCCTTCACTGGTCTCGAATATTCTCTTTCGCTCGAGAGCTAAGAGATCTGTGAGGATAACCCCGGCGATCGCCAGCATCGCCTCTTCAGGGACAGTGCGGTATGCGCATGCTATCCGCAAAGCTCCCCTCCTCTGTACCACCGCAATCTTTTTACGGTACTTCGCGATTCGCAACGCGTCCGCCCATATCTCGGCTCCGTACAGGATGATCGGCCCTGTTAGCGACGTCCAGAATATGCAGCCAGAAGGTTACCCTCGTATCCGAAGTGACCCCCAGATACTTGGTAGACCTGGTAGGCCGCACAACGGACGTTCGCACCATCGTGGATATCGTCGTGTCTATTCGTCTTCTTGTCAAGTGACGGAGTTCCGTCTTTTGCGTCGCCAGTTGTAGACCCCGACTTTGCATCCATTCGTGTACTCGTCTCGTGGCTTGGGTCGTTCGTAGTTGGGCCAGACGCACGTCCATGATCACTATGACTATGACCAGGTCGTCCGCGTATGCTATCAGGTATACCCCCGGTGGCATCGACAGATTCAACACTTCGTTGCATAAACTATTCCAGAGGTCGGGGCCCAGGATCGAGCCCTGCGCTACCTCGGCAGTGATCTGTTGTGTCTTGACCCCGGTCTCCGTCATGTACGTGATGTGCCGGTCCCGTAGATAGTCTTTCACAACCCGGGGCAAGTAGGCCGACAACGGGAAGGCAGTGGAAAATGCCTCCACAATGTCCGCCCAACCCACCGAGTTGAAGGTGTTATGTACGTCAACTGTCGCCAAGAGCACTATTGGTCTTTCCTCATGGGGTCTCGTCTGTGCTCTGTAAAAGGAGTCGACCACCTCTTGGATCGCTCCTATCGTCGATCGTCCTTTTCTGAATCCATACCGTTTGTCGTTCAGGCCGCCTGCGACCTAGACCGCCTGCTGGATGTGCGGTCTGAGCAGCATTTCGAAAAGTTTGCCCAGTGTATTGAGCAAACTCAACGGTCTGTAGGAAGACGGCGACTCCCGATCCCCGCTCTTTTGCTCATCGATGAGGATCTTCTGCTGTGACGCCATCCGGACCAGGTGCCTTCCCCGCTGCGAGCCGAGATATAGCCTCACTGAGCTCCGCTCGGGAGAACTCAAGCACCCCGCCGTCGCCGACATCATCTTACAACCACACTTGTTCAGGGTACTTCGGAAAGCGTCCGTCGACGATTTTGTTCATCGTTTCTTCGTCTCTGATTACGGATGGCCCGAACCGTCCCAGGTTGCGAGTCACGATCTTGGGACCCGTTCCCCAAGGGTCCTAGTCCACTTCGTTTATGAGTTCGGTCAAGCATTCCTTTTTATTGTCATTGATCGCATGCATCAGTCGCTGGCGTGCCGCGCGGTATTCCTCCGTAAGGCCCCCCGCAACCGCTTGGTGTCGGGCGCGTTGGGCCCTCCGTCGGAGCCGCAAACACTCGCTCCGTAGGCCCGCGATCTCTTCCGTCCACCAGTATACCGATCGTTTGTTGCGTCTCGTCTGCTTCTTTGGCATTGAGGCATCGCAGAGCCTTTTCAAGAGCACCGCCGTCTTTTCTTCTAGCCGTTCAGCCCTTTCCCTGCCCACGACGCACCGAGGGATCATCGTCGCTGGATCTCGTTCTGAGTCCAACTGTACCGTCACTTTGTTCATGTCTAACTTTTTTAAGTTTAACGCCACGGGAGGTGGAACAGTCTTTCCTATCAGACATGTCCTGTCCGTCAATCCGAAAATTATATATTCGTGATCGCTAGCCGAAAACTCGCCACCGCTCGACTCTCGGGCGAAGTCCGTCCGTAACAAAAATCACGTCAGGAATGGATGCCCCGTAACCGGGTCTTCGGTATGTCGTCACCCGTCTCTCATTTGCCGCTGTCAGGTCCAGCCTTGCGGCCATCTCTAGCAACAGGCGTCTACGTTTGTTCGTAGTGGTCATGCCTCGCTCGATAGCTCTGGCGTTGACATCGCCCGCCAGAATTACGTCGCCGGAGGTGTCCCTTAGCGCGTCCTCGAGAGCCGCCACTTTTTGTTCAAACTCTGCGGCGCTGCAGTTCGGGGTGTGGTACACGCTGATGTACGTTACGCCAGCGACTTTTACCCAAACGTAGTCTTCGCCCTTCCCGTGAGCCTTTATCCGCGACGCTGCACCACCCCCCCCCTGCCCCCACCCCACCGAATGCACAGCGCCACCAAACGGGAGGAATTAGCGAACCAGATGGGGGTGCCCATGTCTTTGTATGGTACGCTAATCATAATAACGTTCGCGTTCAACTCCTCAGTTAGCTGAAGCATCAAGTCGTGAGCCAACCTGCTACCATTAAAATTGCCTCGGAGTACAGTCGTCATGTTACGTACGTTTGGTGCTTTGACTGGTCTTTGCCTTCGTCAAAGCCGCCTTGAATGAGACGCAAGCTGCCGTGCTCGGCACGTGAGCTGTCCCACCATCGGCCTGCGGTGAGCAGATAAATCAGCTGGGGGCACCTGTGCAGGCCTTAGCTACGTGTCCTCGCTTGCCGCATTTCCAACAGCAGTCCCATCTGTCCGGTCCTGTACAGTCGTTCCGGTGGTGCCCGTATCCGAGACACTCATAGCATCTTGACATCATAAGACGGGCCCTCACTCAGCAACTGACGACCCCTACCTGTATTCGTCCTTTTTTGAAGAAGTGCGTCGCGTCTTGTCTGTCGAGCTCGCAAATAGCCATTCTCACTCCTCGGATGTTTGGGCCGAGTACCGAGACTTTTCCTTCCGGAGCCGATTCTTATTCCCTTTTCAGGGCGTCCCGAACTTCATCTGCCTCCGTGATGCAGTCCATGTCTAGGATTTCCAAAGTCACTTTTGGGGTCAAATTTTGTATGGCCCCTTGGTTCCCAGCACATCCCGTACCAGTTTGTTCACGTCGTTCTGCGAGCGTCCGTCGCACTTTGTACGTACGAGTACTGAGCCGTCCTTCGTCTTAATG